TAATGAGCTGGAGATGATAGTGCACCATCCACAAAAGCGTTTCTTGGGTCTGAAACCAAGTAAGGTGACAATACTAGACGGTGAACTTACAGGCAAAAATAAATTGGTTACTGTTTTGAGATTACGGCGGTGGCTGTAGTTAGTAGCAAACGATCTACTAATCAGATGGTTGGTGGTTCGATCCTTGGCTGCTCCAGTCTGCATGAACCACAAGTTGATCTCTGATGTATTTCTTCAGACTGCGACTATTAGATATGTGAGTGAGGCATGTTGTATAAATAATGTAAAGTAGAACATAGAAAGAACCAGTCCATATAATATATTATATGTTTGTTTCTTTGTTTGGTAGGAAAAAAGGCCAAAGCTTTTATTGGTTTCTGCTCCTTAAATTTGAAGATTTCATGCTTTTCTGTGTTTTGCATGAGATATCATGTAGTAATAGTAGTTAAAACTATGTATTTGGGTTTTGCACTGTTCACCATATTAACTGCAGCATTTGGTTGTGGGACTAGAATAGGCATTTTGACATTTTCTAATGAAAAAAAAAGAAGAAATAATGCAGATTAATTGATGAAAAATATGAGCTGCAGCCGTAATTTACACTGCATGAAATTAAATAGCTGTTGAACTGCTGCACTGTTTGCACAGAGACAGTTGCACTTCTGTCTCCTTATATCGATGTTTACGGCTTTTAAAAGCCCTGATAGTAAAGCGTCGTCATACTTCCACTCCTATGGCTCTTCCGCGATAATTGTAAAATGTGCTATGTACAACACAATGCTTGGCATTCAGCTGTAAAAACCATAGTGCAGATAGCACACATGATGTTTATTGGTTTAAACAAACAGCCTGAAGTGCAGTTGACTTTATCGGGGTAAATAACTTGCAGGGGAGGCAGCTTTATATGGCATTAATTGCAAACAAGTTGGCTGCTAATGGGCTGAAAAGGCCTTAATGGAAGTGTTCCATTAAAACAACCAGTGCTGATGCCATCAGACAAATTTACACTAAGTGTTGCCTCATGAAAATGATAACTTGCTAATCCATTATTAATAAGAATTAATGGTTTTCACTGTGCCATGTGCGTATCGATCCCTGATACTCTACACTACAGAGTAGCTCTCATTGGGCACTCTGGCAAGCTTGGGAATAGACTAATTGTAAGCCACACAAGTGCCATTTACGCAACTCTCCCCGCTGTCTCTGCTTTTATTACAAGCTTTGCTCTGAGGCCCCCGACTAGGAAAAAGGCAAACTGGCTGTTAGGAAAGTATGATGCATACAAAAGGTGTTAGCCAGAGTCAACAAAAGAAAATATCACTGGTAAATGAATGAAGGTTGGAACAGTTTTTCAGTTTTATAAGCTCAAGCATGAGACACAAAGCACAGCTCATTGCTTTTACTGTGCATACTGATCATACAAACTGACATGTCACTGAGATTATTTCTGAGCCAGGACAAACCCAGATCTGTTGCCCTCCTGCAGTTCAGAAACCCCAATACCTTTTATCTGTCTAATGACCTCAGACCTCACAAATGCTGCTGCAGGCTTTGGGTTAAATGAGAGAAGCTTTTTAATCCCCCCTCCATACATAGCCTTTAGGCTCCTTTGGTGTTTTCTAAAAGCAGGATCTATGCAGATTTGTCAATACCCCGCGCCCGAGGTCATATTTAAATTTCACATTAGTAGTGCAGAAAAATGCACCTTACACTCAATACACTCAATCACCACACTAATCATAAATGCTAAATATTGTTACTTGATTAAGCTGGCACTTTATATGACGTTTTTGAACACAAAGGCCTAGCATTTGTTTCCCTAATAACCCTTCAATTTGTTTGATAATGAGGTTAATGCCTTTCTGTATTTGTGGGGGTACACCAGAAACACCTATTAGTCCAAAACCGAGTGTTTTTCACTGGCATGTATTGTTTCAAGCTTTGATTAATTCATTTATTCCATTCATTAGTTCTAACATGAAAGGCTTTTTGCTCTAGTAACATTTTTTTCAGTACCACCAACCAGGCTGCTGTTTGTGTACAGCAGCACTGTTTTGCATGTAGGATCTTTCTGGTTTATTTATTTGGTAATTAAAACAGTCATTTGAGTGATTTTGATTTTGATAACCCAGTTTAGTGATGCTAATTAACGCATTGTTGTATTATGGCCAAATTCTGGTAAATAAGCACTACTTGTGAGCCAGTAACCCCAACCCTACGATTCTGGCAGCTTGCAGCAAAGCACTGTGCCTGACAGTTATGGCAGCACTTTCCACACATTGCCAGAGAGAAGAGAGCATGCGTTAAAGCCTTGTCAAGATATGAGTTTTGAATGTGTTGTATCAAAGCATAAAGAGAGTGCAGCCCAAAACTCGTAGTCAGTGGCTGAGAGAAGGATTTGCATAGGTAGGCTTATGTGTTTTCCACCTCGTCCCTGCCATTGTTTTCATGTGACAACTGTCTGACAGCCAGGAAAATGGGACACAGGCAAAGAAAAAAGGTTGAGTCTGGATTTTGTTCGTCTAAGAAAAGAACTGACAAACCCAACAGTTTGATATCACCCTTCAGTGGTGGCTGTGCTGACAGAGGAACACCAACTCTCGCAGTTCAAAAGTAAATGCCTCTGTCCTTTCAGTGGAGTGTGGTAGGGCCACCATTAACCCCATGTATAAGTCTGTGGTTCAGGGTCACCGCAGTGACTTGTGATTTTGTGATTGATGCTCGGTGAGATCTGGATTAACGATGGAGAGCTCTGAATTTGCCACAGTTTAGCCCGCGAGTCACAGGTCAACTATCGAAATTCAGGGGAAGCTTGTTTAAGAGGATTAATACGGGAAAAGCTCCACGAGTCCAGTTTCCACTGTTTTTCTGTTTATCCTTAAAATCCTAAAGATTTCTAAGATCCAGCAGTTTCTATCTTAAATGAGTGTGGCAATACACAAGCTTATGTCCTTTAATTTGAATCATGTGTGCTGAACTATTTTAATACTGTCTGATCCTTCATCCGTGCAACAAAGTGAAAACCCTGACATCAGTCTGAACGCTGCTGCAACAGACAGATGTTGGCAGCAACTCTTCTAAGACTGATGGCTGATAATCAGGGTTTGAGCATTCCAAAGCACCACCCAAGCGCAGGCTCAGGCATCCTCAGGCATGCTCAGGCATACACTCTTAATGCTTATCAGGGTGGACTTGTTAACTCAGGTGTCTTGCCGCCACATGCATGTGTGTCACAGCCACATTCTGATGCTATAGATTATTGTGCTTTCGCAGTTGCTGAATCTTTTTTCTAAAACTTGTTCCTGAAAATAACCAGGACAAAAAAAAATAATCAAAAATCGAATTCAAATGTCAGGTGAGTTTGGGGACAAGATCAACATCAGGTTGACTTCCCATTAACACTTGACTGTGCTGTAGTACATTTGATTTGTTTAGTTTTTTTTAAGGTGTCACACTTTTTAGACAGTTATATGACTGTTATGTGCTATTACATGGCATTTAAAGAACATGGCATCATCACAAGAGACAAACATGTTTACCTCTTATGAGTGTGTTAGCTTTTATTTGACCTACACTGCCGTTATATTATATTATATATTATAATATAATATTTTTTATCCCAAGTACTGGCAACGTTGTCTCACCTTTGAAAGAAATGTTCATTTCATTTTAAACTAAAAAAGTCACGATATCATGTCAAGACTTGAAATTAATATTAAATTTCATGAAATTTTTCAATGTAATGTCAAAAGATTTCATTTTGAATCTTCTGCAGTGGTTTGAAAACAAAGATATTTTAGCAGAAATAACCTTGAATCAATAGAATTTGCATATTTTCATAAAGGTCACTAGAAAATATTGACATCTGCATGTCGATCAATTATTCTGTGGTGTTTCACACCGTCGTCGTGCCTTTCTTCCTCCAACTAGTTGAATTTAAATATGTGTAACATATGGTATGTATGCATGCACACGCAACTGCCTGCAGGCTTGCCGTATCCTTTTATTGCAAAACTGCTGCATTGCATTGAAGGAAGCGCCTCTGTGGATATGTCCTCAAGCAAGGACAGCCAACACCACCTCTGTCTCTCTCTCTCTAGCCAAGTGAGTGCAGAGTGTGATGATGTAGCAGGTGGAGCTTCTTTTTCTGAAAAAAATTACAGCGTTGTGCTAACCAGATAGTGAACCTCCCCACATGCTTCTTTTCCAAAAAAATTACAAATGTTATGCTATAACAAGAAACAGTGGTGGAAGCCATTGCTGGATTTCTCCCCAGCGTGTACTCAGAGATGGGAAGCTGGTGTCCCCTGTGTGTACACGGCATAATGATTTACCCCCTTTTGCATGTCTCCATGGGGCAGTCTGCTCATCTGTGGTCTAGGTGTTCCCTACCTCCCTTTTTTTAATGACTCTGGAGATGAAACACGAGCTGACAGAGCTGCAATAGGGACATTGTGTCATGGTGCTGAAGACAAGATTATGCACATCTGAGGCTGTAGATAAAGCATAAAGCATTGCAGTTGTTACGTAGAGCTAAGGTATGCACATTGTAGCATCACGTCACCCTTGACAGGCTGTTGAAACACTCCATTGTCGTATGTACAATGGTGCTGAGTGTGTTGCCCTGTAGAACCCTAAAGGCAAACAGGCAAAATCACAGTTGGAGGTGTTTTCCACGGCAGTACAGTATCATTTTTCTTCAACCGGCCCATTTACCGGAGTTTTTTTTTTTTTCTAGTGAGAAACTTCGTCGTGTTTTAAACCATGTGTCAGGTTAAAGGTGAGAACATGATACAGTGACAAGCACACAAAGACTAGACGTGTCTCTCATGACTGAGCTGCAGGTGTGCACAGCAACAATGCCTGTGTGGGTTTTCTCAGGGTTGCCTTTGTGTGGAGAAAAGTGACACCGATAGATACGTTCTCCCTCTAGTCTCAGCCTCTTTCCCTGTCAATAACTTATTTCCCTTACTCTATCCCTTTCACCTCGTCTTCCTCAGGCTTGCCAAGTTTCGTCAAATCCCCTGAGGATCAGACGGGCATCTCGGGCGGAGTTGCATCGTTTGTGTGCCAAGCCACAGGGGAGCCGAAACCAAGAATCACCTGGATGAAGAAAGGCAAGAAAGTCAGCTCCCAGCGTTTCGAGGTGGGCACTCATGCGTGACTTTCACATCTCTGAGCACCTTTGCATGTACAAACATAATGCAGGCAGGAGCAAACGCAGCACGTTAGACTGCTTTTATAACCTCTCATTGAGACCAGACGCATCCACACATGCGTGCGGACTGGCAGCATTCACACAAATGACACATTCACACAGGACGCACAATGGCTTGCCCCTGTTATTGAGCATCACACCGACTCTTCAGTTCTCCAAGGGAACCTAGACAATCTTCCTTTCTCTTTAATCTCCCTCCATCTTGATTTATGTAGTCTGTTTCATCTCTGTTTGTTTTTTCACTCGCTCATCCTTTTCCCCGTGTCCCCCGGCTACACCATATCTGGGCACGCACCACTGTAATGTATGTGATGTATTTCCCCTCCCACTTGTGCTCCCCTTTGAAGAGGAGGGGATACTTTAGCTGGGGGTTCTCGCCGTTTCTGGCCACTCCTACCTCTGTGACATTACATAACTGTGGTACCTGAGGAGCTATTGGTTTGTACTTCTTCTGTTCTGTGTCAGTGTTTTTAGACATGACCTCAGCTGATTTTTCCTTTTGATTAAGAGGGGATTGAAGGGATACATAGAAACTAGTAAAAGAGCACCAATGACAAATAAAAAATGCTTTACCTCCCACATTAGAAAAAAATCAAGTAATCTGCATGTAGGAATGTATGTTGTTTATATCGCATAATAAAGGTAGTGTAATATCGAGGCCACTAAAAATGGAGTTCCTACATCTTTACTTTCCTGTGTTTTTTTTTTTCTTCAGGTGATTGAATTTGACGACGGTTCGGGCTCCGTGCTGCGGATCCAGCCTCTGCGCACGCACAGAGACGAAGCCATTTACGAGTGCACGGCCACTAACAGCGCCGGCGAGATCAACACCAGTGCCAAGCTTACAGTGCTTGAAGGTAAGATAAGTCTCCTGCTTTTTCCACTTGGTTTCTCTCTCCACACTTGCTTTCACAGTGGTCCTTTTTCCCTGTTGCTGGTGGTTTTCAAATCCTTTATGTCAATATATAAGGAAATAGAAGTGTTTGCTTTAATAATTCATACATATGAAATTGGTGGAATTCCTGGTATTGCCCTTGCCAAGGAGGAACAGCGGTATCTTAATTCGCAAGGTTAAACATTTTTTTAAATAAGCTAGCGGCTCAGCAAATGTGTGAGCTGCAATCTTTAGCTTATGTTTTTATATATTTTGACAATTTTGTTAGTATTATAGCATATATAGTTTTTGGGTATAATGTGAGATCTTTCAGCTGGTCACTTGGATTTGAGTACTTTTTAAAAACAAAGCCACAATCATCTAATAAAGCAGCTGTAAATACTGCCTGATGCTAACATGTATGACTTATATAAACGTTTATAAATCAATAATTCTCTGCCTATCCACATAACTTCAAGAAAAAATTCTTTATAGGCATATGAATAATGTTTGGATGTTTGAGTGGTTTCTACATGTACTAGCACCCTCAGTGCCTGCAGGCTAGTTTGACCTTCATGGACCTCTTTTCCTTTTTTTGCCTATAGAGTTAATGTATGTGTATGTGCAAAGAATATGGGCCTAGAGGTGCGAATTTCTTCTTTAATTGATTGTAATTTTGTCATGTGGCAGCTAGTCACCACAGGAGTTGATTTCATTACAAACTTTAAAGGAAACGAAAAAAAAGCTCCAGAGCTAGCCAGAGGGAGGATTAAGGCCGTCTATAGCCATTACACCGGCATTAAAGCAGATCCCCTCTCATTCAAAATCAGCCTTTCCATCCCCAGTTTGAATCCCATCTTCCTTACACCCACCCTTCCTTTTTTTCTCTGTCCACGCTGATTTGGTGATATCATCGGCTGGGCTTGCATAATCTTCCCGTAGGTGCTTTTCTTCAGTACAAAGAGAGGTTTTCTTTTTACCCCTCTTTTGCACTATATCACGAAGAATGCTGTTTCATAAACAAATAGGTTTATGCGGGCAATATGACATAAAACTCATATGAATTAGATTAGCTTAATCATAGTCTTTGTGTACGGGGCAAGTTTGGAGTCCCTCACTCAGTGAAATACGGAAAATGATCTTACTCGACAGTGAGCAGCTGTTTATACCAGCAGACTTACTTTACATGAAAGCATCTTCTATCAGTCTTCTTTCTTTCATCTGTGGTTCATGCCATTTGATGCTTTTATCTATTAGGCTGTACTGATACATATTTACTGCACACATTTTCACCATGGAGTAGTAGCCAGACCTTAAACTATGACCGTGTTACCCTGTGAGGGAGCTTGATACTCGTGAGACTGGCAATATCAAAATCAAGAGGGAATATATTGTGCCAGGCTTCAAGCTGTGAACGTGAAGCCAAACCACACACTGTCCTATAAAAATGTAATGGCCAACAGTCACAGCTGAGGTGTTTCAGTTGTGAAAATATAGATATTTCGTCTGATCACCTGCCAAGTTGTTGTTGTTGTTTTTTTTAAATTCCTCTCAACTGCAATTTTGTGTTACAAGGATGGCAAGCATTGTCTAATGACATGCTAACTTCATACTAGACTGACTGCTTGGTAGCTTTTATAGACTCAAACTGCATCTTCTTTTTCCTCTTCACCACTTTAGGTTCTTTTGTAATTCAGATCCAGTCAGTTGCCAAGTATTTTTCTAATTACTGCTATTTTTCCAAAGACTACTTCCCTCATAGTTCTGTGTAATCGAAGGTTTCAGGAAAAGTCTTTGCAACACAGTCTTCTGATCTTCAAATCACAATGAAATGAAACATTTATTTTATACACTCCTCAGTTTTTGAAATTGACAATTTATACTTACGTGTACATGAATTAATATATATTGCTATATTAAACTGAGGGAAAGTGTTTGGAAGTGCTATGGTCATCATATCAGTGAAATAGCAATACCTGAGTTGTCGCCTCTCTGCATGGTTGGAGCAGTTTTGGCTCATTGTTTTAGTTGCACAAAGCAAAACAATACAGGATCATAAAAACAGGTCCTGTCGGTCTACAGACTGATGCAAGCCCCGTCTACTTACCTGTCCAAGGTGAGATGGCGGACAGCCAAAGTAAAGAAGTCTTTGTCAGCGCAGACACAAATACCTTTTGTATTTTGGAACGTGTACTCCAGCAGGACTATCACAAGTTGGTTTGTTTGTGTTGGAGCTGAGCAACCTCTGCCAAACGTACGAGAACAGCTGTTCAAGTGTAAATAACAGTGATGTAATATTGTTTTTGAACTTTTCTGTCCATTCTCAATAGGGCTGCACGATTTTGCATAAAATGAGAATCACGATTTTTTTTGCTTAGAATTGAGATCACGATTCTCTCACGATTTTCTTTTCCAATATAAATATTTATTGCGCTTATTAACTGCACATCAACTTCGTAACAGTTGAGACTGAACATAAAAACAATAAATAAACATAAAAACAACAAATGTCTCACATTTTGTTGTTGCCGCAAAATGTTGTACTGCTTGAAATTCCGTCTCCACCGTTGCTCGACACTGCGTATATAGAGCAGGTAGTGCAACAATAGAAGAATAGTTGCGGGACGGCACTGTGTAGTGTTTGTCTAGGGTGTTGATCATTTTCCTAAATCCCTCGTTTTGCACAGTGTTGATGGGAGCCATATCTTTGGTCAGGTGATAAGTAATAGCCTCCGTAATTTCTTTGTGCCTGCGGGAGTTCGACAGGTATAGGGAAGTGCTGTATAAGGTTCCCGTTATTGATGTTTGGGTGGTTGACCGGGACGGATTTTCTTTAGTTACTTTCTCGTCATCCCTGACGTGCTCTCCGTTGTTTTTCCCCTGCCAATTTTAGCAGCCAGCTTCTGTATCACGTGGTATAAGGCTCCGCCCTTGTCATTTGTTGAGCAGGAAGAGTGAGCGCTTGTTTTCATGCAGATTACATCCCGGATCAAAATGCGGTACAATCGTCGCCGTCTTTTTTTTTTTTTTAAATCGTTGTCATTTGGAAATGAGATCGCACATAAGTATGAATTGAGATCGCGATTTTCTAACAATTAATCGTGCAGCCCTAATTCTCAATAAAAAAACAAAACAAAACAGTAACATTGTTAGAATTTGTATTTATTAGTTAAACAATTTATTGGATGCCATCTAGTCACCACTGATGTTTAGCATGATTGATTTGTGAACAAGCCATCTCGTAAAAGTCGTTCTCTACGCTTTCTCACAAAACCTGTCAAAGACCAGAACGACACATCGTGTTTAAATAAAGAACTCGACTCCGCCTGAAGCCTTACGATGAGCTGACTGTTCATACAAACACACATGCACAGATATTCACTGTCAAACACACACTCAGAACAAACACGCATTCCCTTACAGAGCAATGACGTCAGCTCCACTCTATTTTTAGACTATTGTTTGTAGCCTAGTGATATATCAAGTTCATATCAGCAGCACAAGAAAACACTGGGGCAGCACCAAACAGATGGAGACTAATGACCCTCGCTTTTAATGGGCCAGGAGTAGCCTGAAGGTTTGAAACGTGGGTGTCACATCAGAATATACATAGCCTTTTCACATCGAGAACAAATCATAAAGTCTGGGGAAAGTAACAGTGAAGGCGTCTGGAGCCAGAAATCTTTGTGGTGTCGTTGAGCAAGGCACAAAACCAGCAGAGCTACTCGGTAAATGTGCTGTTGCAAACATGTCGGGTTTGTCTGTCCTCACTGGAAAAAGACACCACGGTCGAAAGAATGTCTTCATAAGCAAAACAGTCCTGTTTTTGCTTTCCACTACGAGGAAGCTCACACTCTCTGCATGAATTCAAGTGCATGTGACTTTGCATCCCCACGAAGCCGCAGTAGTGCTGTGAGCACCCCCATTCAGAGACGCAGCGAGAACGGTGAAGTCATTATAGCTATAAGTCGATCTGGATTATAGGTTTTAGCAGAGCAAAGGAAGGTCGAGCATTAATTACGATTATTTCATATACTGGCTCTTTATTTTGTTATGCCAGTTGTGCAAAATATGGATTATGACAGTCATGCCAGAGCAGCTTTACACCTGCTTTCTGTGTTGGCAGAGGAACACCATGCTGCGTATGCACCTAGGTTCAGCAGTTCATTATTGTCTGGATCACTTGCTGGGATTTTTGGGGTTCGTGTTTATTTTGTGTCAGTAGTAACAGTGTCCTGTGGCACCACATGATACTTCAACAAGTTCCTTGAAGGATTTTTTTTTATTTCTTGTATTATTTATTTTTGAGTAGAAAAACGTAACAATGTGACTGTGGAAGCAGGTGAGCAGTACCTTCTGTTAGTCTTGCTGTTTGTGTGCAAGATTTAACAGAAACTATCAAGCAAAATGCAAAGAAACTTGGTCAAGACGTGGAGCATTGGTAACAGAAGGACTTGGGCTCTTTAAAAATGGCCTGATAAGTCATTGCCTTACACTTTATTTTGGCTTGACGTCACTGGCAGTCACTTATTGTGACTCTGTGGTTGAGTTACTCAACTTTGTATAAAAAAATCAAGACTTCATGAGAGTTATTTCACTTTATGTCTGACTTGTTGTTGGAGACCTACCTACAGATGTTATGTAATCGGATACTCACCTGCGGGGAGTTGCAAAGGCACGTTTTCACGCTAGCCAAGTCGGGCTTTAGCACTTTTGCAGTCATGAGTCTCGAGTCGCTCTGTAATTCTGTCACGCTGTAACAGCCCCGCTCTTTGTTCGTCGCAGTTCTCACGCCCCTGCTCGAGGGGTCACACCACTGAGACTTACATACGGGCCCAAAGTCAGCTTAGCCATTCTTCATTTTGTGTGTGCAAGAGACAAACACACACACACGGGTGCGTAATAATAAGTACAAAACTGCCAGACTTTCATAAGTCAGCTTGTGAGGATCCTTTACTACAACTCTTCTTTTTTTAACTGCAG